GTTCGCTCTTGAAATTTTCCAGTGGGCCGTGCATAACGCGCTCAGTTCGAAATGTTCACACAAGGGTGGTTCGAAGGCAACAGTAATTTCTGTGATGTTTTTCAAACTAGGTACCTCTTGAGCATGTTATATTTATTTTGCTCTTTGTTTTATTTTTATTGACTTTAAAGCGGCTTCACAGTTTCTAATTTTTCATTGAATGCAAATGATTGCTGCTATTCATATTTCGGGCAATAATAATATGCAGGTTTTTTTACTCTGAATCAGAATGTCCAGCTTCCAGCTTGCAATGTCTTTTTGTCAAAAAAATCTGTGTTCTGCTGGTCATCAAGATATGAGTTGGGTAGAAGAAACCATAAAAACGGTATCATTCAATTTGCATCTAATGATGCATAAATAATAATAATTCATGAAATACTGAAAATCCATCAATTCATCACTAGAATTGCGAGAGCTGTCCAAAATGACACTAGGGCGTAGGCGTATAAATGGATTTTTTTTTAATGTGAACTATAGCGACTCTTATAATTTGAAATTTTTGATAAACTACCCAAACTACCCCGCCCCCCGTAGGACCACCCTTGTACTCTTAGATTATATGTAATACATTGTGGCTAAAATAAAAGCGCTCATTGTAGGAAATTGTTGTAGGAGTAATAGACTTCTGAATAAAATGACTAAATTTGGTACGCCTATGGTCATCTGACGGTCACGGTAATTATTATTTTTTTATGTTCTGGTTGCCACGAAAAGGGATATCCTGTAATGTTCAGTTAGTGTTCTTCTTAAATTTCTGGAGGTTATATGCCTCGGGGAACCCCTCCCTTGGCAAAGTGTTCCAGAACCTCGCTGTTCGTTGGATGAACGAGTCTTTGGAAAGATATGTTCTGCAGGTCTCCAAAGTGACCAGGAAGGGGTGCGAAGCCTCAACTCGACGGGTTAATCTCGCGGGGACTGCAAAGGGAGGAACAATTGTTGATATTTCAGGAGGGCATCGTCCATGAAAATATCTATAAAATAGAGCCAGATCGCCAATTTTTCTACGGTGTTCCAGAGAAGTGAGTGAGTTTGTGAGCGAGGCATCACCCACGAGACGAATTGCCGTTTTTTGGACAGAATCCAACAGTTTCAGAGTATGTTTGGGTGCTGCACTCCAAATATGGGAGCAGTATTCCAGGACAGGTCGGATCTGTGCCTTATAGATCATAAGCAGCTGACTGGAAGTGAAATAGCTCCTGGCCCGAAACAGAAAACCAAGTTCTTGGGATGCACTTTTAACAATTGATCTCACGTGATTTTCCCAAGAAAGGTTATTGCTGATAGTAACACCAAGCATCGAAATGGATGTCTTCAAAGGTATGGTTACTCCTGACATGCTTATGTTTCACACAGTGAGATCGGCTTTTCTAGAGAAGAGGCATGATTGTGTTTTGTTTGCATTGAAATCAACCAAGTTATTGGATTCCCGATGCGGTAGCAACCATGTGATATTTGCCTAAAGAGTCAGACGACAATTTCTGAGCTGTGAATGAGAGAAGAACAATTCAATGCTGTTTAGTATTTCTTTGAAATGTTACTCGTTCCGACTGGTTATAGTTAAGAAAACGAATGGATCGTTTATTTTTTAATGAGCTAGTTGGTACCCCATAAGTTCATTCAAAATACTTGAGGGTACTAGGGTAACGTTGAAGAGAGAATTGAACGCCCTGATGTGCCACTTGGCCCCCCTTCCCATTTGAGATTCTAAGGGTAACATGTACCCCTCCTAGGCGTTTGAGCCAAGAGGGATAAAAATATCAATTTCAAGTGTCCCCCTTGAAAATAAAATTGACCTGCCATTTCGATTTTTCATATTATTAACAGGAAGGAAGATGTTGATGGTGGGAAGTTTTCGAAATATCACTCTGTATGAATTTTCACTGCCAATAATATTATTGCCTACTCTTCTATGCGTTATTTTTAGCCAGTTTAGCCAGCGGTAATTATTAGGGAATATCTTGAAATCACAAATCAGATCATCATTGAATGCGTTTAATTTGAATACTCTTTGAAACAGGGTGTCCCGAATAAACATAGTGTGAGAAAGATGCGTTTGCTCAATGAAGTTCAGTACAGAGAACAATACCAATCTATATCTTCTAAATTTTGACAATCTAAAATGAAGATCTAAACATGATGCTGCATACAATAACATGAAATAAGTAACTTACCTAACACCAGCTCCAATTGCAATCAAGCACACCCCTAGGCTGTTAAATAAAAATCTAATAAAAGAGAATATAATTTTTGGAAATAAAATCATGCAGCCGTAAATAACGTCTACCATATCAACAATCTGGAAATCTGGACAGGATGATAACTTATTTTATTGAGAGAGAGAGAGAGAGAATATACTTTATTGTCATGAAGAAAAGATACATTCTTATGGACAAAGCACATATGTAGAGTTAAAAGTGTAAATAAAAAACTAAAAATATAAAACAGACATTAAAAAGACTCTTACATTAGCAAAGGGTACATATAATTAGAATTGATCAGAATAAAATTCCTCCAAACTATAGTAAGGCCGATCTGATAATAGCAAATGGACAGCTTTTTTAAAATGGTCAATGTGGGTGATATCTCTTATATAGTCGGGCAAATGATTGAACATCTTGCATCCATTATAAATGAGTGAATCCTTTACTAGAGAAGAACTTGGTATTGGTAAGTTTATACTGTTATGTTTACGGGTAGAGTAATAGGAAGGAGTAGTATTAAATTTATGGATGTGTTTTTTGATGAGATATACTGATTCAAGGATGAAGATTGCAATAACAGTTAGTAATTTATGCGATACAAACAGCGGTTTACAGGAAACACGCATTTTAACTTTGGACATATATCTAATCGAGCGTTTTTGCAGTACCAGTATACTTAGCATGAGGTTATTATTACATACTCCCCAGAAAGGAATACCGTATCTCAGGTGAGACTCTATCAATGCATGGTAGACTAATTTTGCAGCTGAGGGTCCAAGTTCCTTTGTTACTGTTCTCACAGCGAAACAACCAGAGGCCAATTTCTTATTCAAGTTCAAAACATGTTGTTCAAATTTCAATTTATTATCGATAAAAACCCCTAAAAATTTAGTCTTATTGCAGCTTTCAATGAGGCCATTATCTAGTTCAATATTGATTATTTCACACCTGAAGGATATTATGTTGGTTTTTGTTACATTTAGAGCAAGACGATTTGAGTCACACCAACTTTTTAATACTTTAATGTCTACTTGGATTTTTTCTTCTAGTGCATCTGCATTATTTTCATGCCATAGAATAGTAGTGTCATCCGCAAACACAGTAAATTTTCCGGAGATATCAATATTAAGCAGATCGTTGATATATATATATATTATATTGAAAGACCCTATGTCCTAGTATTCTGCTACAATAGAAAGATTTTGACTGTTGATTCTAGGAACAAAAATAGTACAAAAAGTTTGGCCATCTGAAGGCGACACATAATTGTACAAAATGTCGTATTTCATGCAAAATAATGTATTCAATGTTTTGTAGCAGAGCCCCCGGGTCTCGAAGGAAGCAAAACATTCTTGAAAGCCTTAATCAGTACACCAATGATAACAGTGGGCTAACGCCATGCTATTAGTGGACCAGAGTGCAACTCCCTGACCACACTCAGCCTCCACAATCTTATTGCACAAAATAATCATAAAAAACACGAATCCTAACATATCACGTGACGATTCTAAAGATATAGACCCTTTTATTTGGCAGACACGACTACCGAGGGCGGACGAATAATCCGGTTAAAATTCGTTTATTTCCTGCAATTTTCAAAGTCAAAGTCAAAAGTCAGCGCAAGTATAAGGAAGACAGCAATGGACAGATATACAGTATGATGCAAATGTATGGAATAAATTCATTTCAAATCAAGACGACTTTCGAAAAAAAAACAAAAACTAGAGTTTAGAACTTTTTTTCGACGTATTTTTTCAACTAGACGACCCTTCGATGTTCAATTCTCAGTAGCAGACCTCTGCAAGATACAATTAATCACATGATAATCCATTTTAATGTCAATCTTCTTATGCAACATTTTGACTGTTGAATAGACGATCGGTAGACCTTTCAATCAAGGTGTCACATGACCCCTATTTGTATTTGAAAAAATCGTCCATTACGTCTTTACTCCAACACCAGTGACGTAACAACTCTCATATGAATATCATGAGATGAGGCTCCAGAAATTAAAACTCACGTGTTTTTGGAATTTTTTCAAATGTCGCCGCCCATTTCTGAAATAATGAATTTATTCCATACATTTGCATCATACTGTATGTGCGCAGGGTGCGAACTCTTTTGATTTTAGGCACAAAATAATACCGCCCACACTTGGAGAATTTCGGGATAAGCGGCTGTATAAAGTTGGTGTTCAATAAGAAATTACTAACGCTTGTGTTTTTCATGATAACAGTAACAGTTTAAGTTCATCAGGGAAATAGGAAACTTGGATATGATCCAATAATTGAATAATCAATATTGGAAATTTTATGAAATATTAACTTCTTTAGGCACTTTGAGCACTTTCTGAGTGAATAAAAATCATGGAGCCCGTCACCTACGGAAAAAATACTATAGGAACTAGTTGATAAAGTTTCTGGTACAATTTCAGATATTCGTAATTTTTTTTCATCAATTGTCGAATAAAATATCAGCAAAAATGGAGATACTATAGTTATTTACGTGACAAGTAGGATATAGACATACATGAGGTGCCCCCCTAAATTCAATAATCCTGACTTGAAATTCTTATTTCTCAACTTCAACAACCCCCGATATAAGTTGTCAACCGATTCGGACAAGAAATCACAAACTGGTCCACCATCTTGAAGTCTCCATTTTGAATGTTTTTGTAACGACAGTGTCAAATTTCGTCATCCCGAAAACTATAAAGTGGATGAACATTTGCGACCTTATAAAAACATGTTAAAAACTCACCTTTACTAATTCCTTCAATCGTTCTCTGGTATATACGTTTCCGATTTCTTCGCCAAGTACACAATCCAGAAACTTAGCAATGGGGTAGGACAGCGGAAAAGTCAGTATCATCACGAACTTCGTGATGTAAATGGTTTTAGCACCGATGGCCAAACCATGACGGGAACAAACAGCCTGAAATTGTATGAAATTCAATTGAATAAACTGCCAAGGCAAGAACACAAATGCGTCAATTCAATTTAAATGTGCATATAACTAAATTATAGTAACATGAATGCATCAATTTTTTGATAAAATATGCTGTAAGACATCAAGAAACACCATTCGAATACCCTACAATTCAATACCCATTCCTGTGTTGCCAGCTGTTTTATTTCAAGGAAATATTGAGTGAATATTTATCAAGATCCAACTGTGAACTGTTGAAATGATTTGATATTCATTGATGTAGTGAGTGTCATCAACATATGGTGTTTTTTATCTCTCGCCAATTCTACAAGTTAATAGCTAATATGATTAGTTAGTGAAGTAGGTTGTTGCATGAGGCCTGCTGGTTTGTATTGCTGAACTTGCTAAATTTGATTTTGTTCCGATGGTTGTTTCTGTTCATGGCATGATGTAAACAGAGAAAGTCATAGACAAAAATCAAGTTCAGCAGGTAGAGCAAGCACAAAGTTCTCGCTTCAATAGCAGCGACAAAATTTGGTCTAATCTTCAATTATACGTTTATACCAAGGTTTATACAATCTAACTGAATAATTTTGGTATACTTGCCGTTTTGATGAACCTATAATTGTGATGACATCACTCTTATATCTATGAAATGACTTCCCTACACAATTAACTGTTGAATTTTATATTCCTAGCTGTATTATGGTTATATAGCTGAAGCACTCTAGGTTTACGACTATTACTTGTTAGTAAACAACAAGTTAGTCTTGCTCAGTTTATCCATGACATAATTGAAATCAGTTGAATCTTGAGATCGATGAATATTCAAATATCTAAACAGGATAAGGAATCGGTTGAGACGGCAACGTTGTTCATCTCACTGGAGTGAATTATCGATACTAATAGACGGTCGGCGCGCTATTGTACTTATGACGTCAGTACCGAGGTCAGTATCGGTGACAGTTTTTCGTCGTGTACTGAAGGAAGATAATTTCACCACCATAAGCTTAGAAGAACCATTTCAGAATTTTCACTGGTATGAAGTAATTTCGTGGAATCAACAATTCTTCAAATATTACAGAAATTTCTCAGAATTTGAAAAAAAATCAAATTCTAAAAGTTGCAATAGAGTTTTTTTTTTATCGATTGGAGCGCACGAAAGGGAATCCCTATAATGTTCAAAGAACATCGTGCGTTCCTAGGGAGGATAGGGACAGGAGGTAGGTATTGGAATTTTGTTTGAATTTTTGGAGATTATATGTTGTTGGGAATACTTCCACAGGCAATGAATTCCAGAGCCTAGCCGTTCTATGGATGAAGGAGTCTTGATAAAGTGCTGTTCGACATCTTTCGAGGTTGACAACGAAAATCATGCGTGAAATTGAAATAGAAACAACTTTTTCAAGTAATCTTTTCCGATATTCAAACAAATAAGCCTACTTTCAGCGATTAATTTGAAAAAATGTTACTTTTGACATGTAGCGAAAGTCACGTGACCCCGATTGAGTAGGCCATATTTCATCTTTCTTGAAGCAAAACTTAACGTCCAACTCGAATTCCAAAATAAGTCATTAATAAAAGTTTTTCCAATATGATGCCGACTTTATGAATGACACTGTAGATCAGTCCGTCGCCCCCCCATAACTTCTTCATTCTAACCAATAAGTACAAAAAATATTAAAACCTTGCGTCTTTTTGAGATACTCTGTATAAATGAATCTTAAACCATTATAAAGAGATCAAATGAAACCCCACAACTTATACATTCAACATCTTATGAAGTTTGTAAAATGTGCTCCGGTATGAGCCGTGAAACCAAGGCGCACGACAGTTACACATGTTGTGCTGCTAAAAGAACTTTCAAAGGAATGGAAAAAGCTTTAATTGAGGAAACGAAGTGGCATTTGAATCTCAAATTCCGATAAATAACAGATGTAACTAATTTTCCTTGAGTCTTCAACACAATTTTATCCATTCTTTATACATTCATGAGTTTGAGTGCATTTCACACCTTCCCAGATCTAGGTGGAAATAAACTGCACTGGTGTGGATTGTGGAATGCACTTTTGAAACAAATGCTCAGATGAAGTGAAAATCACACGAAGTGTAGGAAAGTGCTACACTGCTTCTGCAAAAGACAGGGCCTAGTAGTTCTAGTGGAATATGAAGTATCCAAAATTGAAATTGCTTACCTGCGGTGTAATTTCACCAATCATAACGATGAGCAGGGTCGAAAAAATAACTGCTATCAATCCGGACGTCAGGCCATCCAGCAGAATGGTGAAAATCGAGTTTACAAAGACGTTGCCGAGAAGAATTGCACACAACAGGTAGTTACCGTGATTCCTCACAGGCTGAATGATTTTAGCGTATTTTCGTTCTCTTGCCGAACCTAGAAAAAACAGATAGAGTTTCTTAAGTGTCATAGAAAATTAGGATTGTGATACAGAATAATGATTATACCATAAAGTATTCGTGTGTTTTCAGGTATATATTGATGTCCTGAATAACCTCCCACAAGTCGCCGAGGTAGGATGCAATACAAGATATGAATAAGCAATTTAAACGACTTATCCCATGTATTGAACATGATGTGAAGCAAATTGGGCATCTAGGAAGATAGTAAGTTGCTTTCCAATGAGTTGAATACCTATGTAATTTATATTTCTAACATTATTTCCATTATATCTCAGGTTCCTCAAAAGGTATCAATCACCTTGCCGTTTCCTCCATTTTTCTGCTCGTGTGCTGCACTTTCATGATATAAGAGTGAGAAAAATATATGATTTTATTTGAAATAGTAAAAAAAATTGAAAACTGATTGACTCTTTAACGGTGCCCTCTAGCGGCCACCACGAAATTCAAATCAACTCGATTTGTGATATATTTGAAACAACCTAAAAATACCCTTCATAATGAGACCAAGTTTGTTGAATTCCGTTGCACCAAACAGTAGTAATCCCCCTTCCCATCTTATTTTGTCGGAGACATGAAGACATTTTGTAACACTGGCAACGCCGGGATCATATTCCTGCTGTGCGCGTGCGCGCCATTAGATCAATAGTTGTTGACAAGATCTCGAGGTGAATAGTGAATCACACACGCATAATGCGATACCGTTGGTTGCTAGAGGATTGTTGTTATGTTTCCCATTCAACTCTTCTTTACTTTTTGTACTTCGGACATTGATGAAATAAACCTCTGGTGTACGCACTTCAATCCTTTCCTGTTTTACAATTCCTTGATTTTCGCCTACTTCGATGAACATAACATGGCGTGGGTGAATGTCGCTAAATTTAGTCTGGTGCCGTACCAAAATTACAGGCATCAATGTGACAATTGTGACCGAATTGTGACCAATGAAGATAGGGAATACATTTTGCGATTTAGCCGCATCAAGGTTGGTAGAACTGATGTTGATCATAAGTTCTAAGAATCACGCCATCTAACATTCGATATGTGAACTCCACGTCATCGTCTGAAATTCAATTGTTTATATCAAGAACCAGTCTGACGAAACAAATGAAGAGTGAGCGCACTACAGCTTTATTTCATCAATCTTCGGACTGTAGCAGGCCCCCTTTATTTAGAAAATAGGTTTAAGGTTTAAGATATTTTCGGAATTGATGTACAGGGTGTCCCAAATTCGAGCCTCATCATTGGGATCTCGGAAACTAGAAGAGATACGAGGTCGGTTAAATGGAGGCAAAGTTGCGAAATTTGGTGCTCATCAAAACGACGCTTTGATATTTGAAATATTCCGAATACTTCCGAAGATTTTTGGAAAAAACCGAATATTCGCGATTTCATTTTTATTTTTTTATGACTCTGTTTGAATAGATATAACAAAACAAATTACACATTCTCATTGCTACTTTTTCTGTTCTACAAGATGGTGTTATCAGATTTTCAAACAGACGTTTCGTATCAACTTTGTTTTTTTAAATACGGCCCTGGATTTTTTATTATGGATTTCAAAAGCTATTAATGTCCCAAAACTAATGATGTATCGCACTTATTCAAAAAGTTTATATTAATAGCATTTTCCATAAGAACTCATGTGTTAGAGAGAGACAAAAATTAGATGTTTAATAGGATTAAAAACAAACTTTTTTTGCAATAGCGCATTGCATAAAACTGAAAAACTAACATAAAAGTGGGTGGTTAATAAATAATGTAATTAAAGTGTCATCCCTCAAACTGTAGGCCCTAGGCTATATTTACAAAAATAATTGCATTTTATCAAAGTGGCGGTGCATCGTGCACTTCGGCTATCTTAGTTCATTTGTTAATGTTTAAATTATCCAATATTTTGACAGTTCACTGTGCGTTCACTAATCGTTAACGCTTATTAAACCAAAATGACTTTTTCTAACGAAGAAAAACGAGACATGATAAGGATTTATTATATTTCGAATCGAAATTCAAAAACGGCTTGTGAGCGCTATTTGTTGGAATATCCAGAGAGACGGCAGCCGCATTATAGTTATTTTGCTAATATTGATAATAATTTAGCTCAGTACGGAAGTTTTGTTAAGCCAAGAGTTGAATATGGAAGACGAATCGATCCAGAAGAGGAACAAATTATCTTGAACACTGTAAGTTTGGAAACTATTACAAAGTAGAAAGTAAAATGAATAATTTTAAATTATTTTTTATGGCCAATAATAATCCCCGAGCTTCGGTTAGAGTTTTCGCAGAAGAAGTAGGATTACCGCGAATGAGAGTTTGGAGAACTTTAAATAAGCGTGGATATAAACCTTACAAAATTCATATTAGTCAAACACTAAGACCGGGCGATGCTGAGAGACGATTACAATTTTGTAACTGGTTGCAAAATAGAATTAATGAAAATGACGACCCCCTAAATAAAACTATATGGACAGATGAATGCAGTTTTTCAACAGTTGGACTATTTAATAGACATAACGAACACTATTGGTCAATAGAAAACCCAAGGCAGAATCAAGAAGTAAGACCTCAGGGACGACAATCATTTCACGTATGGGTCGGTATGTGGCACAATAAAATTATCGGCCCGTTTTTCCTTGAAGGAAACTTAAATTCCGATAGATATGCAGAATTAATAAGGACCAATATATTGGATTCCTTAATGGAAGAACCTTTGGAAGGATTACGTCAACTATGGTGGCAACAAGACGGTGCACCATCTCATAATGGGAGACGTGTTAAAAATTTATTAAACGAATTATTCCCTAATAAATGGATTGGAAACCAAGGTCCCGTACGTTGGCCAGCTAGAAGCCCCGACCTAAACCCTCTAGACTACTTTCTTTGGGGATTTCTCAAAAACCGTCTTTATCGAAACACGCCACAAAATCTTGAAGTTTTACGACAAGACCTATTAAGGGAGATCAGGGCTATCCCTGCAAGGACCATTCAGCGTGCCATCCATAAACTTCCCAGACTAACACGAAAATGCATTCAAGCAGGTGGATTGCAATTTGAATATTTGCTTTAACCTTCATTGGGTATTCAATTTAATAGTTTTCGTTTGACTTTTTTTTGGAATAATTAAAACATCATGCCTATTGTCACACATTGTTTTATTTCAATTTTTAGGAGCTTCTAAGAGTTCTAAGGTACTAAAACCAATGATGTATCGTTCTTTTTCGAAAAAATCATTTTAACGATGTCCTGCCAAGATCTTACCAAAAATCTATTCTCTTTCTCTCTCTAACACATGAGTTCTTATGGAAAATGCTATTAATATAAACTTTTTGAATAAGTGCGATACATCATTAGTTTTGGGACATTAGTAGCTTTTGAAATCCATAATAAAAAATCCAGGGCCGTATTTAAAAAAACAAAGTTGATGATGGCAGCTCAAATACAAAACGTCTGTTTGAAAATCTGATAACACCATCTTGTAGAACAGAAAAAGTAGCAATGAGAATGTGTAATTTGTTTTGTTATATCTATTCAAACAGAGTCATAAAAAAATAAAAATGAAATCGCGAATATTCGGTTTTTTCCAAAAATCTTCGGAAGTATTCGGAATTTTCCAAATATCAAAGCGGCGTTTTGATGAGCACCAAATTGCGCAACTTTGCCTCCATTTAACCGACCTCGTATCTCTTCTAGTTTCCGAGATCCCAATGATGAGGCTCGAATTTGGGACACCCTGTACAGTGGATAGATTTACAGTGAGCATCGGACTATTCTAGAAACCGTCGTTAGTGACGTTTCTGCATATTTCTGGAATACGCGCCCAAATCAACCAATAGGGTAGCTTGGTTAAGCTTCACCAGCGTGGTTTGCGCGGGATAGACAAGGCGCAGGATGAGGTGAGAGGGGGAGAAGGAGTTCTGGGGATGAGGAGAGTGGAGATCGTCTCGGATGGGCATTGAAAAAGGTTATGAGATTCCCGAAAAAGATGTACGTGTAGTACAGAATCACTGTAAAGTGTACACGGCCGAAACAGTGTTGAGTTATACTGAATCATCGAAGTCTGTTGTCCACAGATGTTAATTTCACACAAATAATTCACATCTCAAAGTTTTCGCGAGTACCTAGTTTGAGAGTATCCTGATTGGGTTAGCGCGGTGTTACATTGGGCGGGCATTCTTCGAGTGCTGAATGGAGGTGCTTGTTGCTTGGACTGGTGTAAGAACTGTAAGAGCACTAGAGGTATTTTAGTTTCAAGGTTTTTCAAGGTTTATTAGATATTTTGTCTACTTTGCAATAAACCTATTTGAGTGATTCCTGTATTGTTTTTGGATACCTCTTTCATTATCTGAACTTGCAACGAACCCCTTTGAGATACTTATAGAGTCCAGTTCAGGACTAGGAGAAAGACTCACCTGTATTGCACAGAATCTTCAACTCTGTCTTGTCCATCGACATCAGCCCCAAATTGAGCCCGGAGAACAGCGACGAGAACGCCAAACACAGCACGATGATGACCAGAGTGGCCCACAGGGGCAGCGCGTTCTCGAAGATCTTGATCTGCAGCCAATAGACGGTGCCCTGGTGCTGGAACACCTTGTTCGGTCCCAGGGCGCCATCCTTAGCGCACACGTAGTAGGTCTCCTCGTCTCCGGAGAACGGCGGCAGGTTGATCTTCACCAGGACCGTGGTGGCGGAGAAACTGGCATTGTCCACCTGGAAGGAAACCGGAGTTGTACTAACGATTGTCGTCCCCACCATATTGTGACAAATAGGCGCCAGCGTTTTCTGAGGAGGGGAGAGGTGTCACGTAGGGCAAATGCCTATGGAATAACATCATTCAAACTCTCGTACATTTCGAGATCTTCAATCATAACGTAACTTTTCCAAATTAAAACTTCCAGTACAGTATAGTTTCGTTCAGCTTAGCTCAGTTCATAGTCTTCAGTGATGTTCGGGGAAACATGAATATAAAAAAGGAAGTGGTCCACAAGTACACCTTGAGGGAAGATGTCGCCTGGAGAAGCGACTATAAATTACGGGCCATAGGAGTAAGATATATGACAGGTCATAAAAGCGCTTGTCCCATGAGAACTAGTTTGATCTCATAAATGGATGCGAGAATGTTTTTGTCTTATAGCATTAGCGGTCTAGATAGTAGGTTATGCCGATGGGTGCAAGTGGTTACGATGAATATCTAAAATATTATATGTATGAAGTGCGTAGCCTAAATGATACCATTTGAGATGTAGTAGGTATAGCTATGTGCTTCAAATTTCATTCTTCTGCCTTGAATAGCATTATTGATACGAGAAAAACGAATTCCGAGGAATTTCTGGGAACTAGCAGAAGATTTCTGGGAATTTTGAGATATTTCAAGGATTTGTGAGGAATATCGGGAATTGCGGGCAGGCAATTCTAGGTAAATACAAGGGTAAAAGCAATTATCCGTACACAATTATAGCATGCGGTCAACACTTCAACGCCTCGGTACGTAGAATATGAGCTATTACAAATTCTTATTTTCGAATGTTCCGTTAACAAAAATTAATTGTTTCTGTATTTTTTATTATTATTCAATACGAATTTAGAGACATTTTCAGTAAGTGAGTGGAATATTTGGGAACTGCAGGGAATTTTCGAGACACATATGGGAAAAAGAAATTACCCATACAAAATTTCAGTACGTGGTCAACCAGATAACCCGAGGTTTAACCCTGAACGCCTCGGGAGTTTCAGTTAGTTCCTTGACGCCAAACAAGGCTGAATGAACAAAATCCCGAATGGTGGGGTAAGCTCTGCGGAGTATTCTGATCGTAAACGTCCCCACCATGGAGGGCGTGAACCATTCGCCGATCAGCCGCAGCGTGTGCTCCCGTGAGGTGAGCGACCAGCAAGGGCACGACCGTCTCGCCAAAGTCAGATTTTTCATTTCATTTTCTCTTACCTTTGAATAACTCAAAAGCTATGAGCTATCGAAAATTCTTATTCTCAAATGTTTCGTTTACAAAAATTGTCGGTTTCTGTAATTTTATCATTATTCAATACGAATTTTGAGATATTTTAGAGAAGTGTGTGGAATATCGGGGATTCGAGGGATTTTTCGGAGAACACATGGGAAAAAGACACCACTGGAACACAATTTTAGTATTCAGTCGACTGGTTAACCCGAGGATTAACCCTTAACGCCTCGGATTTTTCAGTTACCTATAACGCAGAATATGTTGCCGACGGGTAGGACGCTATCCTTCTAGTTAGTTATCGATAGCATTTGCGCAGTGATTACCCTTTAGGGAAGTTACTAAAAGTAGTTGATGAAAGCCTTTGATAGTCACTGGAAATCTTTAGTAGTCATTGGTAGTATTTGATAGTCACTGAAGTCTTTGGTTGTCACTAAAAGTCTTTGGAATTCACAAGAAGTATTTGGATTCGTCTTTGGAAGTCAGTAGATGTATTTGGTAGTCACTGGAAGTATTTGGTAGTGACTCGAAGTCTTTGGTATTCACCTCGGTATTCACTAGAAGTTTTTGGTAGTCACTGGAAGTTTTCGGCAGTCAATGGAAGTTTTTTGAAGTCACTAGAAGGCCTTGGTAGTCACTGGATGCTTTTGTTAGTCCCTGGAAGTGTTTGGAAGAATAGTAGTATTCACGTGGAATATGTTGATGACGGGCAGGATGCAATCGTTCTAGTTAGTCATGGAAGATTTTCCCAATGGGTAGTTTGATGTGTTTTCGCAGTGACTACCCCCTAGGGGAGTCACTAGAAGCCTTCGAAATCCACTAGAAGTCCTTGGTTGTTATTGAAAGCCTTTGATAGTCACTGGGAAAACTTGGTATTCATTGGTAGTATTTGGTAGTCACTGGAAGTCTTTGGTAGTCACTGAAAGTCTTCAGAAGCCACTAGAAGTCCTTAATAGTCACTTGAAGACTTTGGTAGTCACTGAAATTCTTTGAAAGACATCGGAAGTCTTTGTAAGATTAGTAGTACTCACGTGGAAGATGTTGCCGACTGGCAGAATGCAATCGCCCGTCCTGGTCGTGAACGTCACCACCATGGAGGGCGTGAACCCTTCGCCGAACAGCCGCAGCGTGTGCTCCCTGTGGGCCAGCAGCAAGGGCACGCCCGTCTCGTCGAAGTCGGGGTCCTTGTAGGCGCGCTCCAGCCTAATGCCGAAGATGCGGATGTCCGAAGGGGAAGGGGGGGCGTCGGCGGCGGTCGGGAGGGCCCTTCTCTGAAGGGAAGCACTGGAAGAGGAAAGACGGAGTTATAGGGTGAGTCATTAGTGTGGCAAAGTGAGATAATGGCTTTACTGTTTGAGATAGATGTATAAACATTCCAGAGATGATCTAGGATCATGAGCAGCACATTTCCAAAGTATTTCACATTACACAGGGTGACTCAGAAATGCGTGGCGTATCGAAGTTATACTTTTTCATATGGGACACCCTGTATTTCATTGCATTTTCGCATTCTCCTTTGTGAGCTGATTTCATTAAAACATCACACTTGGGGTCTAGCGAGAATGATTACAGAGATATAGGGTGTTCAAAATCCCAACTTTTGATTTACTATCTACTGACATTTAATTGGAACAAAGTTATCCATCGAAAAGGCCCACCCCCATATTTGAGTTATTTTTTATTGAGAAGAAAAAACAATATGCGGATGTTGAATGCCGCAATGAGGCCTCTCCACAACCTTTATCAGAAGTTTAACACGGTGATCCCTAGAACCGTGACAAACCACAAATCATTTTTTTCAAATGGAACACCCTGTTTTTTTTTTCGGAATCTGTGATTTGTATGTTATCTTCTATTTTCACTTCTTCATCGCCACTTTTTTGGCCCCAGAAAAACAGTTTTTGTCTGATTAATTAGCGATTACTCAATCAGTTTGGGAATGTATTCGATAATAATGCAATTGTTTGTTTTGTATGTATGAAAAAATCAAATTCTTCTAGACTTAAATTTTTATTCTTGTATATATACTTTTTGTATAATATCTTTTTTTTACATTTGTATTATTTCTCTTTGGAAATAAATTATTATTATTATTATTATTAATTAACAACTATCAAATATACACTCATTCTTAGCTAACACGTTATCTGTAGAAGCTAACACACAAAAATTGGTTTCCTGGTGTCCAAAAAGTGGCGATTGAAAAGTAAAAATAGTAGATAACATACTGTATACAGTGTCATTCATAAAGTCGGCATCATATGGGAAAAACTTTTATTAATGTCTTATTTTGGAATTCGAGTTGGATGTTGAGTTTTGATTCAAAAAAGATAAAAAATGGCCTACTCAATCGGGGTCACGTGACTTTCGTAACATGTCAAAAGTGACATTTTTTCAAATTGATCGCTGAAAGTAGGCTTATTTGTTCGAATATCGAAAAAGTTTACTTGAAAAAGTTGTTTCTATGTCAATTTTGCACATGTTTCTCGAATTTGATCCTTCTATTGAAACTTTACGATTTTAATTTTTTTTTAATTTTTCAAAATTTCTGTAATATTTGAAGAATTGTTAATTCCACGAAACTACTTCATACCAGTAGCTTTTTCATGATTCTAACTTTCAATTACTTATTATCACTGATTATGGACAGAAATATGATTTTCTTCAGAAAATGATAATACCCGCTTCCAAATTCTGTTATGTTTGATGCAAAGTTGATAAAATTAATTCAAATGAATTTTGTTTCTAAATGCTTGACTCAAACATAACAGCATTTTGATGTTATGTTTGCATCAAACATAACAGAATTTTGAAGCGGAGATTATCATTTTCTGAAGAAAATCATATTTTTGTCGATAATTAGTGATAATTAGTAATTGGAAGTTAGTAGCATGATGGAGCTACTGGTATGAAGTAGTATCGAATTTACAATTTTTCTAATATTACAGAAATTTCGGAAATTTTTAGAAAATATCGAAATCTAAAAAATGTAATAGCAAGATAAAATCCGAGTCACATATGTAAAATTGAAATAGAAACAACTTTTTCAAGTAAACTTTTTCGATATTCGAACAAATAAGCCTACCTTCAGCGATTAATTTGAAAAAATGTCACTTTTTACATGTAGCGAAAGTCACGTGACCCTGATTGAGTAGGCCACTTTTTATCTTTCTTGAAGCAAAACTTGACGTCCACTTGACGTCCAACTCGAATTTCAAAATAAGTCACTAATAAAAGTGTTTCCCATATGATGCTGACTTTATGAATGACACTGTATACAGGATAATTCGGCTTTCAAGGTAAAAACTGAAATGGGTGACAGATCTCATCATTTTAATCAAAAAAGTTTATATATACATGAGTCCGATCTCGATCGGAAGCGGAGCTACAGAGGGTCAAGGCTTTATTATTTTTTTCTATTAATTAAAATATCTCGCTCACTTCTGGAGATATCTACATGAAATTTGGTGTGATTAATATTTCATTGAAGGTTATCGTTTAATTCATTTTGAAGATTTTTAATATCTACAGGGCATACGTTTTTGGGGGTAGAGGCTTATTTATCCCCCCAAACTTCTTCGTAGTACGCCTCTGGAATATTCCAGTTACCAAATTGAGTGATTCGGTCAATTTAGAGGACATTTTTGATCTCCAATTTTTTTTGAGAAACCGAGGAGAAACGAACCGTTTTCGTCTCGGTTTTCGTCAATAGTTTAGCTAGCTGAACCCATGATTTTTTTTAAATAAAGTGCGAAAAAATTGGCAATATGCTAGGATAAGAGCGGTATAATTCGTTCTGTTATTGAACTTGTTGGATTTGCTATTGTTTTGTCATTTTCATGTTGGATTCGGGAAAATTTTTGCAAAAAATGATCAACAAAAAAATAGATAATAGGTTCAATGGAGAGACTTGAATTAGCCTTAAATTATGGTGTACTCAATATTCTTACTATCCTTCTAAATCATAAAAATCATTCATATCCCGAAGTGGTCCAAAGTGATTTCAAAAGAAAAACGAGCAAAAAATTCGGTCGACCACACTTGAAGATTTTTATATAGTGTGGTCGACCGACTTGTTGCTTGTTTTTCTTTTGATTATCCTCCTATTTGGGGTTTTGTTTTAACGGCTTAACGGTGAAGCTAGCAAAACCCATGATTTAAAAAAAACAGACTGCGAAAAAATCGGCCTTAGGCTAGGATTAGAGCCTTAAATTATCCATAAATTATGGTTTAATCAGTTTTGTAATTGAACTTGAACAATAAATTCGGCAATAGGGTGATGACTTCGACTCGAAATTATCCTTAATTTACCGTTAAATTATGGCCAAAGACAAAATTGAAGAATCCAAAGTCGTTCTGCTAGCTTAGTGGAGGTGTTTTTCTTCAAATGTTAACACCCAATATTTTGAATCGGATTCGAAGTGTACGATAAATTTCAGAGTGACTACTTGTAGATTATTCACATCTACAAAACCAATATCTAACCAAATGAACGAATCATTTCCTTTTGTTTTTATGGCATAAAACTAACAAACTTACTAAGGCTTCGAGCGGACAGGCGATAATTAGTGCTAATCTGGCTTACAACTCGAGTAGGTAGGTGAACTCTTGATGGGATGAAAGCTAAATTAACAGATCATTTCCTGCCTCTAAAGATCCAAAGTTCCATACAAAAATTGATCAGTGATACAGCATAGTACTTTGGATGATTTTTTTTTTCATCCAGAAATAATTTGATGGACCGAACGAAAAAATTATAATGAATTAACATAAAATGCGCAGATACTGCTGAGAGAATATAAATAATGGAATTTTACCAAGCACACGCTGTTTTTCAGCTTCTACAAATTCAAACACTCCACGACAAATATTATGTTTCAGTCTTTCGACAATTGTTCAATGAATTTCTGATCGAAGAAAAAATTAATCAACAAAGTTAGGTGGACGTATCACGGTGAAAATGGAATATTTCTATCATTCATAATATTTTTTGCTTATGGAAAATGAAATGTTTCATAAATAACGTCATATTTGACATTAACGTTACGAAAAGAGCATAAGAGATCATTTGATTAATGCGCTGTTGCCAAAAATGCGAAATTTCTGCAGAAACCAGGAAATCATAAAAAAATGTATATACGGTGTGTCCACCTTAAGGACTTACCACCCCTGTAAAATTGTTATTATCTGACCGATTTCAAAAAACTTTTTTTCGTTGGATAGGTATTTGAAATGTCCATCCAACAAGAGAGTGATTTTACTCATGAACTGTAATCGTGGCCAACTGCGACCAACTTTATTGACCCATATTTGAGAAAGTACTATTAGGGATTTTTTTTCACAAAAAACAATGATGAATTCTGAATAACGATCAGTTGAAAAACACCTTTACTGATTTTTATCATCATAAAACACAGGGTGTCCGAAAAAACGAATTATGTTTTTTTTAATAGGTGATCAGAAAATGTAGTATTGTAGTATTTTTGAGAAGAATTGATGACACATTATTATTGAGGATCACTTTGAACATATCTGTACCGATTTTCATCATTCAAAAATACGATGTGTATGAGAAAAAAGAAAAAGTAGGCAATATTTTTTCATCATCTCAAAAAATATATTAATTTGATTTTTCGAACACCCTGTGTTTAATGATGATGAAAATCGGTACAGGTATGTTCCAAGTGATCCTGATTCATCTTTTTATTTTGAGTGAAGAATTATCAGGACGAAAAATATTGCTTACCTATCTTTTTTTTTCTCAGACACATTGTATATTCAAATGACGAAAATTGGTACAGGTATATTTGAAATAATCCTCAATGATAATTTGTGATTATTTCTTTCTAGAAAAATCACAGAACTACATTTGCTGATCATCTATTTGAAGAAAATGATGATTCGTTTTTTCGGACACCCTGTGTTTTATGATGAAGAAAATCGGTACAGGTATATTTCAAGTGGTACTGATTCAGAATCCATCATCAAGTTTCGTGGAAAAAAATCCCTAATAGTACTTTCTGGAATATGGGTCATTGAAATTTGTCGCAGTTGGCCACGATAATAGTCCAAGAATTAGATCACTCTCTCGTTGGATGGGCATTTCAAATACCTATCCAACAAAAAAAGGTTTTTTGAAATTGGTCGGATAATAACGATTTTACAAGGGTGGTAAGTCCTTAAGGTGGACACACTGTACATATATGCTATAAAAAGGGGTTTTTTGCATTTTTTTCACGTCAGATGCACTTCGACAATGGGCGTGTACACCTTTGTGAACTTTT